TTTGTAAATTAAATATTTTTTGAGAAAATTAAAAAAGCTCATATTTTTGAAATTTTGCGAGGCTGTAAAAAAAAGCTCAAGTCCAATCGATGAGGACTTTTAGTATGTCATAAAAAAATTGGTGGATTATTCCAAAAGATACATGATCTGCTAATTCCTTATTAATATCCTGATTAAGATACAGTATGTCGAATGAAAAGAGGATTATAAAAAAATATTATTTCTCATAAAAAAATTGTGTTGATCCATACACTTTTCAATAAGTTATAGCATTATAAAGTTAAAAATGTAAAAAATAAAATCGAGAATTATTATACAAAAATAGCATTCGGTAGCCATTTTCACCGTAAAGACAAAATAAAGTCCGAAATTTTTTTATACATAATAAAGTATATTACATTAGCTTTAATTTTTTATNAAAAGTATTGATGTTCGAGTTTGATTAATGTGTGTAACATGCCTTAATAATTAAATTAAATATTGTGTTAATTTGTATTTATTAATAATAAATAATAAAATAATAAAGAACACAAAATTGGCGACGAGGATGGGATCCGCAAGTCAATAAAAAATGCACAGGTAATTGGACCAATAGAGATAAAAAAAAAAGTATACCACAACATGGCTAAAATANAAAAAGTAAACCACAACATGGCTAAAATAGGTAATATCGAAGAATACAAAATTCAAGATGATTTTGTAAGTTGGGTCGAACGACTAGAGTTATTTATGCAAGTAAACAAAATAAAAGAAAATAAAGAAAGTATTTTGCTTACTTTAATTGGTAGCGAGGGGTACAAGATATTGAAATCCTTGTGCACACCTACCTTGCCTAAAGATGTAAGTTATGACAAATTAGTAAGTAATATGATAAATTACTTACAACCAAAAGTTTCGGTAGTTGCCGAAAGGTCAAAATTTAGAAATAGCTTACAATCGAGCAATGAGTCAATAAGTGAATTTGTGACTAAATTGCAAAAGTTATCTATGTTGTGCGATTTTGGAAATAATTTGGAAGAATCTTTAAGAGACCAAATTGTACACGGTGTAAAAGACAGAACTCTGAAGAAAAAACTGTGCGAAGAAGCGGACCTAACATATGAGAAGACGAAAGAAATATGTCAAGCACATGAAGGTGCAGAAAAAAGTTTGGAGATTTTTGGGCAATCCAGCAATGAATGCCAAGGAGAAATTTATTTTGCTAACAAGAAGTTCACGCGAACAGCTCAAAACCGATGTGGCAAGATCACTGTCAACGGAGGAAATGTTACTTGTACTTGTTGCTGTAAGAAGAATCATGTTTTTAATAATTGTTATTTTAAAGACCGTAATTGTAATATTTATCATAAAAAAGGACATTTAAAGAGTGTTTGTTATTTTAAAGATAAAACTGANAAGCTGTAAGAACAGTTATAGAAATGAATGTTGAAGGAAGAAGAGATAGAGGAAGACCAAAAAAGAGATGGAGGGATGCTATTGAATGCGATTTGAGGACAGCTGATTTGAGCGTAGAGGATGTGGGACATCGTGTCAAGTGGAAGCTTAGGATAAGAATANCAATGAATCTAATAATTTTTTAGATAATGATAACTTAAATATTGATACATTATTTCAAATTGAACAGATAGGCTCAAAGAATGTAATTTATTTATTATGGTACAGATTGAAAATAAAATGGTAAAAATGCAATTAGATACTGGATCAGCTATTTCAGCAATTTCTTTTTCTGAATATAGAAATAATTTTAAATATTTACCCTTAGTTGAAACTAAGATCAATTTAAAAAGCTATTCTGATGAATATATTGCATCAGTTGGAGTAATCAAGGTGAAGGTTAAATTTAATGAGAAAAATTTCAGTTTACCATTGTATATTATTGAAAACGGCGGACCGCCTCTTCTAGGAAATGAATAAATTAAAGTTTTAGGTATTAAAAAAAAATTAACCTTGAAATAAATAGTATTACTGAAGATTTTATATGTAATGTAAAAGAATTAATAAGTAGTTTTCCAGAAGTTTTTACAGATAAATTAGGTACTTATAATAAAAATAAATGTAAATTATTTTTAAAAGATAATTTTAAACCAATTTTTTTAAAACCCAGACTTTTGCCATTTAGCATTAATGACCAAGTAGGATTTGAATTAGATAGGTTAGTTCAAGAAGGTATTTTAACACCTGTTAAGACTGGTGACTATGGAACTCCAATAGTTCCAGTATTAAAGACTAATGGTACTATTCGCATTTGTGGTGACTATAAAGTCACAATTAATCCTTATTTGAAGGTAGATAGGTACCCATTACCTCGAATAGAAGATTTATTTTCAAATATTAGTGGTAATGTGTTATGGTCAAAAATTGATTTATCACAAGCTTATACACAGTTATTAGTTGAAGAAAATTCAAAAGAAATTTTAACATTATCTACTCATAAAGGCTTATATGTACCCAATAGGTTAATGTATGGTGTTTCCTCTGCGCCTGGTATTTTCCAAAGAGAGATGGAAAATGTTTTTAGGAAAATAAAAAATGTTATGTGTTTTCTAGATGATATTTTAGTTTATAGCAATAGTGTTACATCACATATGGAAAAATTAAAGGAAGTTTTTAATAAATTAAAAGAGTGTGGTCTAACGGTGTTAAGAACCCCTGAATATTATTTTATAATTGTGTGGAGTATATAATACATGGTCGTCCGACTGTCGTCGAACACAGG